ATCCTTTCAGTAAAAATTCCATCTCACTTAATTTCAAATAAATGCTCAAGCATTTGCATTTCTCAACACTGCACCCTAGAGTATTGCTACCAACTCCTTTCACTCACAATCTTGTTCAAACACTTATTTTGAAACACTTCCTTCTCCAACACAAATAGGTCAACTAGATTCAAATCTAAATGAAGGACAAAACACTACTCTCTAAATTTTTTTTCCCCTGGCAAAACCCGTGTCTTACTTGATTCCCTGCGCTTTTTCTTTTCCAGCTTGAAGATAAACCGAAAAATTGTTATAGAGTAAAATATTATTTTCAGCCTGAATTCTGAAAAGTTATTAATAAAATCACTCCCCCATTGGGTATGCCCAGAATTCTAGGGGAAGTCTGCTTTCAAGTTGTTCTTATGGCCCTGGACCAGATGCTCTAAGGTGGCCGGGAACCGTAGTCTTCCTGCACTTAGCAGATTTCTGGCTCTTTATCAGGGACTAAGAGGTTTATTTGAAGAAATGAATCATTTCCTTCAAAATATCCTTTACCCTATTTACATGCTTGCATATTCCTTCCATTTTGTTTCCCCCCTACAGCTTTACTAAGAGAATTAATTATCTAAAAGAACAGGAACATACAGTAAGTACATCTGAGATACAGGATGAGAAACAGTATGTCATCTATTAGGCCTGGCTAAGACCAGCAGCTGATGCGAAATGGGAAGGAACAGGCACCAAATGTTTTTTAATCACAAAGTTAGTAATTAATTGCTCTTTAAAATACATTTTATGCTTTTTTCTGTCTGTGTACATGAAATGCACATTTATTACATGCCAAAAATTACAACATTATGGTTTAAATGTGACTGGCACGGAAGTCCGGAAATCAGAGTTAATGTTCCCACAGCAACTTTAATTCTGTCCGTGTGCACACGCAGAGCCATAATCGCCTTCCGTTCGCGGATCATACATATAGATGGTGTGGGGAGGGAGCTAACGACCCATATCCTCAACTGTAGTTACAGGAAAAAACAAAGGACAGAAGCTGTGCCCCTTTCCACCATGTGGACAAGAACAATGTCCCAGGCCCGGTGTTGTGTAATCGGGGTGGAAGAATCTGCTCTGATGCCGCCACTTAAGGGACAGTTTCTGTTGCTGTGGGAACCTGAACTTTGCATTTCCTGACTTTGGGGTAATTAAAATGTCAGCCTTAATGTGGCATTAATGGAGTTTGCCATAAAAAAATCCTCTTTGCTTTGTTCTCTAAAAAATTGCTTAAAAGTTCAAACTGAACCAAGTGTACTAAAAATTTTAATCTCGGGGACTCGGACGGGTGAAGCAAAGGGCTGGGGGCAGGGGAAGGCCCGTGAAGGTGGACGGCAAGGCAGGCAGAAGGATGAGCCCACCGGCCTCCCTGCCAGGGCTCAGCCCCTGCAGAGTCATGCTACCTACAGAGCTAAAGTTAGAGCCACCCACACAGCAGTTTGGTAATGTGTAAAGGCTAAATTAAAAATAAATAAAAACTGCTAATGCGTAAGTGCATCTTGGCAAGGACACACAAAAATAAAGACAGTTTGATGAGACCAGTGCAAATCATGAGAAGGTAAGTAACCACGGGTGGCAGCTTCAAACAGCGAGACAACAGAGTCCGTGAGTCCACAGTCGAAAGTGGGGAGGACTGCCCGAGGGGGAAGGGCCACTTCTCCACTCACTTCCAGGGGAGGCTTATTTTGGGAAAACTGACGTGGAAGAAATATGCAAGTGCAAGTTGCCTCTCATGTATACATGACTGTGATGCTCATCTTGATATTTGCCAGGGAAGGCTTCTCGTGGAGCGCCTCGTCTGCTTTCCTGGTTTAGTCCTGCTTCAGCACTTGAAGGCAGGTCTTGGCCCCTCAGCCTGCTCAGTGGGTAACTGTCCTGTCAAACACCTTGGGATTTTGTACCCATTTCAGAACTTGTCTCAACTCCTTCCATTATTGTTGTCTGAGTTTGTCTGCATTGGACTCTTAGAAATGGTGCAGAGGTGAAAGCCTATGAGGTAATGGGGGAATGGTACTAAAAGGAAATTGTTAGTGCACATGCTGCAAAGCAGCACACATCTCAGTAGCAACACTAACCTCATCGTCTCACAACGGACAGCACTTCTCAACCATATTCCTTCTTGTTTTGAATACTGCTGGGATCTTTGGCCAAATTTGAAGTGGTTCAGCCCGTTAAATAGTCCACTGAGAATTTAAGTGGGTCAGACTCATCCTCTTCGCTCTACGATTTGGCCTGTGCCCTTCAGATGCAACAGCATTGTGGCTTCCCCACCCTTACCAGTTCATACTCAGAGCTGGCTTTTCTTTAGTGGGGATGTGCATACATCGTATTTTATAACCCCGTCACTGATGTGAATAGTTGCACATTTTCAAGGTGCCTGTTTAGAGCCAGGAATACCGTCTCTGGGCTTGGAACAGAGAATTCAGGCTGTTCACAGCAAGAGCAAAGCCACAGATATCCTCAGTATCTGAAAGAGTTAATTACTGAGCAAGTCATTCATGTATCTGGCCGTCAGTTTTCTCAGTTTTCTCATCTGTAAGCTGGGAATAGTTATAATGACTGACAGGAAATGGGCGTTAAAGCATGACTAAGAATAATTTTGCTAAACACATGACAAATGAAAAGGTGCTGTGAAAATTCAGGCACTTGCGAAAGCTTGGAGCACCGAACACTACTGGAGTGTTTCTGAAGTTAAAGAGACTCGAAAGTCAAGGACATTATTTTTAAATGCCCCAAATCTGTTAGTTCTAAACAGAACTGAATAATTTACCTTAAAGAAATTAAGCTTTTAAATTGATCTATGGTAAGAGTGACATTTGAAAGTAAAAACAAAATAAATAAAACAAAGAAAGTAAAGGAAAAATCCTCCTGAATGCAAGAAGAGCATCCAGAAATTTTAACAGCTTAAAATAAATCTCTTTCCTGTCTTCTCTTAAGCAATCTCCAAATGGCCAGATTTCTGTGAATCTTTCCTAAAAACAATTTTCTTCTAACTGTAAGCTCAAATCAGGACAAACTACAATTTGAATATATTTGGAGGAAAGTATAATCAATTTAAACAACAGGTTGGAGCACAGAGGACTTTCACATCTTAATGGGAAAATGAAAATGACTTTTTAAACAGCTGGAGAGCGGGCTTCTCCTCCCTCTCGCACACCCTGCTTGCTGCCTGGCCTCCCCGCGCGAGGAGCAGTCCGGCGGCACCTCGCTCGTCTGGTTCCTTGTCCATGTTCCGTGCCAAGGCCTGGTGGGAGGACGCTTACAGTCAAGTACAATAAGTGAAGCCCAGTGCTGCTCCTACTCAGAAAAAAACATTCATTTTGCTGCAACAGGGGACTTCTGGGCTATGGCCATTCTATGTAATCTTCCCCATAAGGTGTGGCAGAAAGCCAGGCGATGAAGGTCTGCGTGCAGGAGCTCCAGGCCCTTCTCCACAGGAACAGGCTACCTTCCTGGTAGGTAGGGACAGTGTGCACATGTCTGTGGGCTCTGTGCCACGCTGTTTTCCAATTCTTCCTGTAATTACTATTAGGCCAGAGACTACCAGGCAAGAAGGGCCAAGGATGTTACTACTACAATGGCCCACAGAAAGCAGTTGCCCCTTCTGACCCCAGGTTTCTCTAGAGAAGCAGCAACTGTGTACAAATTACACAGGCTGTAAAGACTTGGATGTTCTTACTTCTTGTTTCATTTTCTAGTGACTTCTGGAGCGTGGTTTCGGCCCAGCCAGGAACAGAACAATTTTCCTGCACCCCAACCCCAACCCGAGATCTTGTCCCTTTGTCTACAGACTTTTATGAAGAAAGCAAGTAGGGAATGGAATCTCCTAGACTCATCTACCTCTTGCCCTCTTTGCAGAGTTTTACATTGTTTTTGCCAGAATAATACTACTAGAAAATTAAGAATCTCCTTTCCTAGTTCATAATCTATGCCTTTGTGGACAGAGTAAATGGAGTCTTTTTTATTATGGAAAATAAAAATGTCTTGGTCATTCTAAAGAAGAATACGCCAGCTCCTTGCTTGTTACCATGTTTCCTTTATGGAGATGAGTTCAGAACTGTTGTTGGGTATCTCAAGACTAAAAGGAATATTCTTTCAGATTGGACCCCAAAGTTTTTCCATTCCTTTCCTTTGTCAACACACGTATTTCTTTTCTCTCTGGAGTATTGGGTTACGTTGCAGAAAGAGAATGAAGTCTCCTAAAAGTGATTTATCAACTTCCTTAAAATAGAATTTAAAGAAGTAACTCCCAGTTTAGTGAGAAAACAGCAAAAACAAACAGCAATGGAGTGATTTCAATACCAACGATCTCACTAAGCTGCCCATTTCCAAATTTAGCCCGTAGGCATTTTTTTTTAATTAAAAATTATTTTTAACCTGAATTCTTATTGGCTACGTGAAGTCTGGGTGGCTTCTGAATTCTTGGAAGCTATTCTCCTTTCTTCTGTAAATTTATGCTATCCTTTAACCACTTCAAAATAAATTAAAAACTGGAAAGACAGAAATGCAGCCAAGCTGCATGAGTCTCCAATAACTAATGCAAAGCTGACTTGTGTTATGTAATTTCATAATGGGCGTTTCCTCGCCTCTACCCGGCCTTCAGAGGTCCCTATTTGGTTGCTCGGGTAAGCCATGGTGAAAGTGCTGTTATTCGGATCATGGGGGCAAAGGAATAATCAGAAAGCAGCAACACCACGTCACAATTTCCTTTTCTGAGTTACTGTTATGGAAGAGAATGTGGTTTGTGTAATCAATCGGCCTTTTGGGGACAAATGGCTGGTCACCTGGTTTTAACACTCCAGCTTTGAAAATATAGATGTTGGCTGAATCAAAATGGTGGCAAGTCACTTTTGGCTACTTGAGAAGACCAAATGGAAACAGCTTGCTCTGAATGCAAAAAAAGCCAGAACCCAGGGGAGAAGCATGCTCCAAGCACCGCGAAGACACCATCACCTTCCTGGTGTACTCACAATCAGATGACCCGGTGTGAGCGTGAGAGTTTGTCAGTGAATGTGTTGAGTGGATGAGGGCCGGGTCTGGAGACAAAACAGCTTCAAAGTTCAGGCAGGGAAGGCCCGGCTTGGCGCTGGATCCACCCGGCTGAGTAATCTCATTCTCCTCAGATGCCTTCTGGTTTTCAGCTGTCTTGGGTTTCTTCCTGAAAATAAACAAAGGGCCCTTTGAAGGAACTGACTGCATATTTGGGAAAAGGCATTTTTAGAATCTGTTAAAGATAACTTGATTTTTTTCTGAGGGGGGATGGGAGGGAGTCCAGTATGTCCCTTGTTTTAAAACAAGCTGATTCTTGTTTTTTTTTTCCCCTCCAGTAATGGCCTAACTGGGAACACATGAAAGCATATGGGCCGAGCAAACAGCGCCACATTTGGACTCTGTTGGCTGCATAAAAAGACCCTGTCCCAGAACTTTAGACAGCTTGAGCTACGTATGGCTGACATTATCCAAGAAAGCATCCTTCTTCCCCCCTTAAGAGTTTTAACATGGTCTGGAAAAATACTAGTGGGTGTTTACCGTTCTAGCATTTGTCAGGAAGCTTAGAGACAGGACCCGTGGAGTAATGGGAGGAGCACTGGACTGGGAGTCAGGAGACTTGAGCTACGGTACTAGCTGTGCCTCTAACTTGCTGTGTGGCCTTGGGCACCTCACTTCACCTCTCTGGGCTTCAGTTTCCTCATCTGTAAAATAAAGGGCTTGGATTAGAAGGCCTTAGATGTTCCTTCCAGCTTTCATTTCTATGCATGGAACACATTATGAACATTCAACTTTCTTGCAGTTTCATTAGATTTTATTTTAGATCTACACATAATCTCAAATCACAATCTAAATCTGCAGGCTGTACAGATGACGGGGGGTAGTGATGGAGGTTTTTAATGAAGTAGCAAAGGAAAAGTGAAAAGAAGAGCTTAGATCCCAAAAGGTAAAGGGAAGGTGTCACATGGGTGACTATCCAAACTCACTACTCATCCAAAGCTTAAGATTCCCTTTGTTCTTTGACCTAGTGCATGACTCTTGAGCACAGGAGTGTGACTGTGTGTTTGAGGTGTGACAAAGGGATGGGTAAAGAGAGTTAGAGAATAATTATTGCTAAACGTTATTTGGGGTAAGGAATAGGAAGAGAAAGAGCTCAGCTATTGGTCAGGTCCACTGTTCTCGCCCTTGGACAATGCAACTGATATACAAATGAATAAACACTTAGTTTAGACTGAATGTACCCCTAGATCTCAGCCACTCTCGATTATTAATCACACCCTAAAATTTCCCCCCAGTTTCCTTGGCTCTCTGCCCTTTTCTATCATTATATGCATGGTGACCAGAGAAAGGGCTTTGTTTTATATTTTGGTAGAAAATTATGTGTGGTACAGAAGTTGTTGTAAATAGAATTGTTTCCATGTTCCCCTCATTTCTATAAGCATGGCAATGGACTTGATACACATTTTCTATTGGAATTTGTTGTATTCGATAGTTAAATATGCCCTCACAGAATATGGTGTTACGATTACCATGCTGTGTTTCTGGTCCAGTAGGTTGTGAAATAAAGTATGCTTTTTCAGAGGGTGTGGGGCAGAGATGGCAAGGTAAAGATGAAAACAGAGGAAAAGCTTTTAGGAGTATTTTTCAGTTGGAGGAAGCTGATACAAGAGAAAGAACAAACTGGAATGCTTTACCCACTGTTTGTTGAGTGGGTGACAGGGGAACTAACCTCGAATTCTGAGTGTCTCCACAGACCCCAAAGGCCTGGTTTCTGGTTTTCAGTTTAATGAGGTTCCCCAAGATGAAAGTCTCCAGCGCCCAACTCCTTTTTCTTTCTCTATGAAAACCAGAGCCTCCTCTGAGGTCCTCATTTCTATCACCACTGTCTGTCAGCATCTTGGAGACCATGGGTCACACACCTTCCTCTGCCATAGGGTCAGTCAGCAAGACCCGAAAACTCTGCTTTCTCTATGTTTTTTCACATCCATTTTTCCTTTCCATTTCCACTGCCAATCACCTGGACACTTTATTTAGGCTGCTGCTTACTTTCTGGCTCTCCACCTCCATGGCTCCTGCAGCCCCACTTCTCTGCATCTGAGGCGGCCACATCAGCCTGACCCTCAAGGTGCGTTCCACGTCTGCTTCTAGCCTAGCTCCCATGCCCTACACGTTGGCCATACTGAACCCTCAAATTTCTTGAATATTTACAGAACATCCTGGGGAATCTTCATCCTTGCTCAAATTATTTCTCTTGCTTTAAATGCCTTTTTTTCAATTGTTGAAGTCCTATTTATCCTTTATATTTACTCAATGTTGTCTCCATCTTATAACTGTTGATTTCTCTCTACCAGATAGGACTTCTTTCTCTCAAACTCTCCTCCCTTCCATCTTTCTCTGACATCCCAAAACACTTTTTCTTCCTTTATTTTACTCACTACATTTTGTTTCAATAATGGTTATTTTATGTGCTTATCCCTCCTCTATGACACTGCGAACTCTCTGAGGGTGAGGAAAGGTCCTTGCCGGTTTTGAGTTCCCTGTGTTCGTGCGCTGTTCCCGTCTTCCTCCCCTCCCACTACCCATTAGTCACGTATTCATTCCCAATACTTCCTGTGTGACTCTGACGTGCCAGCATGGGTTAGGGGATTAAAACAAGGCTGGTTTTTGCCTTTCCAGAATTTGCTCTCTAGTGTATACTGTTAAGCCAAAGAGTGTAGACATAGCTATCATCCAATACACACTTGTTGATAAAATGAAATGGAGCAGAAATTAAAGTATAGTTTGAGGATAGTCATAGTCTGAGTCCCATTAAGTTTCCTACTCTTTATACAGCAGTGAAATCTACCTTGAGTGGTTGCTTTTACTCTGAGTCCATGAAGGGCACTTGGTAAAAGTAGGGCCATTTTGCTCACAAAGTTCGGCTGATCCTCACAATTCATTTAAATACAGGAATGAAACACTGATGACATATCACTTAACAGAAAAAAAATGTTTATCTCTGCTGCTCTACGACAAGGCCCAGGCTAGTTTCAGATGTGTGCTTTAGGGAATTAAAGCCCTCTTCCAAACGTGAGTGCGTGGCCAACATTACTCTTTTCTTTTTACGAGTGCACAACTTGTATTGTTCTCTACGTAAATGCCCTTGCTTCCTTCCCTAGATTTGATCCTGCTTCCTACCTGACATCGTGTACCACACCCTCCTGTTTGTTATCCCAAGGATCACCTTTGGGGAACATTTATAGAGCAGAGGCATTGGAGACACCTTTATGGATAGAAAATATGAAAAACTCAACCTTCAGTAGTTTGTACCCCCACTTGCCTAACTTGTCTGTATGCCACTGGACTGTTTCCCAACTGCACAGATAACAGAGAGCCACTCACTGCCTTTGGAAGCAATTCATTCTCCATCTCACCTTCTCTAATAGTCCTTTTGGGCTCCTTTGTCCAGAGTTGAGAAATACTGAGATATAGCTTCAGTTTTTGTCTACAAATGCATAGGTTCTTATTTTGGCCCCAAATTTGCAGTTTGCAGTTTATTAAGGGGTAAAGAGCAATTCCTACATTAATTAATTGAGAATATCTCCTTTGGTTGTGTGAAAAGAATTATACAAACCCGGTATCTAAGGACCAGTCTCTCCAAGCCTCTGTGGCAGTACATTATTCCCTGGAGCCTTTAGAGGGCAGCAGCAGCATACCGGCTGACTCCAGACAGCATTTCAAAGAGGCAAACTCCCGACCAGACCAGAACCTTCCTCCTGGTCACCATGCCAAAGGTTGGTTTGCCAAGCTCTGGCCGTTCAGCCTCTTTCTTTCTTTTCAGTTCTCAGCACACTGTGTGTGTGTGTGTCTGTGTGTGTGTGTGTGTGTGTGTGTGTGTGTGTGTGTGTCTCCCCCCTCCACCCTTCTTCCCTCCTTCCCTCCCTCGATGTTAAAATTATACACTCTGATGAAGTCGCCCCTCAACCGGAAAATGAAAGCTCCAATGAAAAAGTTAGACAAGCCAACAACAACAAAGAAAGAAACTGGGAGAAAGGGGAAAGGGGGCTGGTGAGGGGGAAGGATTTAAGAACAAGAAAAGGGCAGATGTTTCGTAAATATATGCAAAGCAAAACTGGACGTACCCTGAACACTTCCATAGAGAAACAGACCAATCATTGTGCACTTCCTCCTGCCACACTGGTGGGAGCTCAGCATTCAAAAAAAAAAAAAAAAAAGTGTGGCCACAGGCACCTGCCTTTCAACAGTTAGTTCTGACCATTCTGACCGAGTATCTCTCAATTGTCCAAAGAGAACAAAAATATTTTCATCTCCCCACTGCAAGCATTTTTGTTATGAGAAAAAGAACTGGAAAGGCATTTTAGGTGACTGGCAGCTGGGTTAGCCAGCAGGACCTTCTGGTTTTTAACTCTCATCGTGCCGGCCCCAGCAACAAGTTTTAGGCTGAAACATAGCAGTGAGAAAGATGTTGGCTTTTTCAGTACTAGACCATATTGTATGTGGAAAGAAATATGCATTAAAACATATTGATGAGATGGTAGGTATCATGCATGTGAAATGCATGGAAATTAACCAGATCGGTGGCATTTGATGTATATATTTCACACTTCTTTGCACATATTGCACACACAGTGATGGCAATGCTTTCTGCAACATATGGAAAATAAATATTTTATCTGTGTGAGCTCTTATCAGTCTCCAGGGTCTGTTGAGAGAAGAGTGCTCTCTTCTATCTCCCTCTCCCAATTTTCTCTCTTCACTGGGCTCCCACCCTCTCCTGCACATTAACATGCCTTTCACTCATCAGCCTGGTTGGATAGAAAAGAATTAGTAAGAACCTCCTTTTGATTAGTAATTACCTAGTCATTAAATCAAGATAATTTAGACCAATGATTCCCCTCTGTCCCCCCCGCCAATCTTTTTCTCTTTCCCAACAGTACATTGGGAAAAGCTTAGTAGAGTGTTTGGGGATGGGGGTACAGGGCAGGTGGAAACAAGCCCCCCAGGGCCTGGTGGCAGAACTGAGTTCCACCATCTAGGAGCCGTGTGTTCTAGATGGATTACTCTGCTTCTCTGGGCCTCAGTTTCCTCATCTGCTAAGTAGAAATAACGATACCTACCTTCAAGGGCTGATGTGAGAATTATGTAAGATAATTCATGTCAAGTGACTGGCACAGTCCCAACACATGGTCAGTGCCCAAGGGTGGTAGCTCTTTTCACAGACAGCATCATTTCTGTGGTTTGTCATTTCGGCTAGCCACAGTGGGGCACTTTCTTTACCTTAGTAATCTTTCTTAACATTTAGATTTGGGCAGAGGCAAGTGCATGGTAATTGTAGCCAAGGTGGAAGGAATGCTAGGGTAAGCAATCTCTTCTTGAGCACTTTCATCTTACTGCATCACCCTCCTGACACCTTCTTTCCGTCCACGGGTTTGTTACTGCTGCTGCCACGCCAAGAGCTGCTCTTGATGCTAGGGGTCAAACAAGCCTCACTGGGCCTATGGAAGCCCATCAAACATGAGCACGATGGTCTATTCATGAAAACCAACCTTTGGTACTCTCTCTCATCACGTGTTCTTACAATTTGTTCTTTCACTACTTGGTGTAATGTTCTCAGATCAATTTAAGATGTTTTCATGTTTAAAACATTTTATTCTCTCAATTTTTTAAACGTTCTTGGCAAGGCTCATTTAAAGTGTTTTTCAGTGTATCTCTCCCTCACTGTATCAGTTGGGATCCTGGCAACAAACAGATGGCACACTCAAAGGTTTTCACTGAAGAGAGTTTAATGAAAGGGCTGTACACTGAGGTACAGACGAGGTTAAGGGAACCTCAAGGGAAGGTGGAGCATCAGGGAGTAGCAGTGGCGGGAAGCTGTTAAATCTCAGCTTAAAACTGTTAAGCTGGCCCTAGCCCGCAGGTCAGTTGGTTGGAGCATTGCCCCACAGACTGAAAGGTTGCACGTTTGATTCCTGGTCAGGGCACATACCCAGGTCGTGGGTTTGACCCCCTGTTGGGATGTGTATGAGAAGGCAACCAATCAGTGTTTTTCACACTGAAGGAGCAAGGAAAGGTGTGGAGTTCTCTAAGTAGAGTCCAAACTGGAGTTGGGAAGGAGGCTGGAGTAATACATGCTGTGACCTCACTTTCCTCCTACTCTCACATCTCTCCCTGTTGTCTCCTTTAGGACAAGGTGGAAGGGAAGCCAGAGGAGAAGACAGCCTCCTGGGCCACAAATCAGGGCAGAGAATGGTTCTGGGGTTTCGGCAGGAGACTAACAGGCCTGCCTGTTCTTTCCCTCTCCATTCCTTCACCCTCTTCCTCTAATTTCACTGTCTGGGATGAAATACGCAGCACAGTAAAATGAAACAGTTCTCTTTTAGCACCCACATACTTTTTTTTGTCTGTTTGCCATTTATAGGAGAAGAAAACTGAACGCAAACTTGATGCAAGCAGATATTTTTGTTTGCTTGTTGCCATAACTCTAGTGCCTAGAAAAGTGCCTGGCACACAGTAAATGTCCAATACATTTCAGCTGACTGAGTAAGTACACTCGTCTCTGCTGTGCCAGACACCACCTGTACACTCCCTCCTTTAATTTCCACAACAGTCTGGGTCAGTAGGCAGGACCATTGAGCACGGTTGTCTGGGTGGTATAGGAGTGCGCAGGTTTTAAAATCTAGCACTTGCCCCTTCCTACCCACCCCCAAGCCTGGAGATCTGGCCCAGGGCATTGTCAACCCACAGGAAGGGACACATTTTTGTAATTAGTCCATGTTTTTTATACTTTAATCACCTTATTGCTTTTTGCACCCAGCAAGTGTCTTTAAGTCTTATTATTATTTCTCTTTCACATATGAAGGAGCTGAGTTTCTGAAAAGCAGAGGCTACAAGGATTAGACCCAATCTGTCCATTCGCTAGGACCTGTGAAGTGTGAAAGCAGGCACTGGCATCTGCACAGGGGAAACACTTCCAATGGCAGAAGTGGACGCTCACTTGTGGGCTGCCTGGTGGTTTTCAGGAAACTTTAGGTTCTGATTTCTGGGTCTGGATCTGGGTTCTTTGTAGCACAGGAAGGTGGGAGTGCTAACGACTTTGTCCTCTGCCAAAGGGTACAGAGACTTTGAAGCCTGTCTGCATCCTGGTACAGCTGTGCTCTAGCACAACACAGTCACTCTGTGATGAAGAAAAACTCAGAGAACCAGGCACATGTGAGATTTTCTAAGGCATACCTTGCACTTGAACTTAAGGATAAATGAACGTGGTCACAAAAGTAAGTTCCTTGCCTACGTAGGAAATGAAGACACTCTTATGTCATGTCTTCGGTCCCCCGTCATCTGAACCCACTGAGACTGCAGAGCACTCTGACGGCCCCCACGTCCATTCGGGCCAGGCGGCCTGCCTATGCCCTACACATCCGCTACCATCAATTACAAGCTGACTTAAAACATTCAAGGAAAAAGCAACACAAAACAAAACAAAGCAAAAACACTGGCTTTATCCCTTTGGGGTTGATTTTTGTCAGAATAGCTAAAGACACAGAAAATATAAATATGAAAAGTCCGACCTGAAGCCTAAGAGGGATGTTAGCCTCCCAGGGTTAGCGTTTTCCCGTAACAGATTGCTGTCAAATACTATCCCATTAGCTGCCTCATACCGTAAAGGAAAACTTGTGAATACAACAAATAGAATGAGTTTTTGTTTTAAAATGTGCAATTGAGTTATTTTGCATGCATAACCTTTGAATAATTTAAATCACTGGCTTTTCTAGTGAAACACAAATCCATATATTTATCTGTTACTGTTAGCAATGATTAATAAACGCTTGATGTCAATCTTTCATCAGCGTCTTCCTATAGGCATCCCATCTCCTAGCCCAACTTATCTCTGCACCCTGCCTTGCAAGGGCTGTATCCCTCCAGCATAAATGCCTGTTATGGAGGAAACTAAATCCAGTATACAGAGCTATGCATTCCGAGGGCACAGCTGAGCTGGATACAATGGCTGAGAGATGTGGTTGAAGGAACCCAGAGCCCCAGAGGGCAGGCTGTGGTCCCCTAGAGTAGGAAGGAGGCAACAGGGCAAGCACGAGATGCAGCTCAGAGAGCAGGCAGGTAGAGATGGGTGAGGAAAGCGGGCTCCCCGATTTGACTAGGGTGGCATGAAATGACAAGCTCTAGTGACACTCAACAGAGTGGCACAATGGCATGATAAGAGGTGAACAAGCTGGTAGGAGCCTCAGGTAGAGGTGCAGATGACTAAGCAGAACAGCACCAGTGCCTGCAAGGTGCGCTCAGAACCAGCCCAGCTCAGCCACCTGGAGAGGGGGGCATGACGCTGCACAGGTGCGACTGCAGGCTGGGAGCTGAGAACTGCTGTGGGCACCGGGGGGCTCAGGCTGATGACCTTGCTGCACCCAGCAGATGAAGCCGTCTAAAACTTCACCTGCTTTTGCAATTGTGTGTGCGAGTGTGTTTTAATTAAACAGTGAACTAGAGAGGTTTTTTGTTGGAGGCATAAGGTACTCACAGTAGTTTCCAAATAAATGGTGTCACTCTTCAGGTAAGTCACTCCAAGGCTTGGGCCTAGTGCAGATGTTCATTGGGGCAGGGGACAGAGAGTGACTGCATCTAGATCAGAGGAAAAACAAACAAAAATCAGTCTGTTAAATGAGTAGGTGAAAGTGATCATTCGTTCTGATGGAGACAGAACAGTGGGACGTGGGTGAGAGGCGGGGTGTGCCCCTTTGCACCAGAGGATGGAGAGTCAGGGAAGGGGGACTGGAGACGATGCCATCCAGGTTCCATTTTCAGCATTTCTGCCTGATGGCCTGCAGGGTGTGACAGCCTCAACAGCACTGGCTGGTGCAGGCTGAACTGATTTTGTGGTGCTGAGGTGGAGGTAAGGGTGGGGGAAGTGGGAGCAGTGTCCTTCAGCTTTGCCACAGCCCACCCTTCTTCCAGTGTTCCTGATTCCACTGCAGTCTCTCCGCCTTTAGCGCTCAGCTCTTACCTACTCTCCAGATGTCCACTGACAGGGCCATGCTTCTGGGCTCTTACCTTTTCTCCCCCCTTCACTACAAAGTCTCAATTTCCTCCGTATCCTCCATATCCTCCGACCTGTGGAGTGCAGCTGTAGGGGCTACGGAACTGACTGCCATCTGTCTCAGAGCCTCACACCCAGAGGCCTTTTCGCAGGCCTCACCCCTTTGGCCATACTGGGCTTAAATGACCACTTGATTCCCGAAACTCTCCTCCCTTCACATCGGGATCCTGCATTATTCTGACTTTCCTCCTGCCTTCAGTTCCCTCTTCTGCCTCCCTCAATGGCTGATCTTCTCTCCCCTCTTCCTCAATTTAGATATTCCTCAAGATTCTCTCCCCAGGCTTTGCCTACAAGCACCCTCCATGACCTCGACAATCACTTCTGCATACAGAACACCCACATTGCTATCTTTAGTTTTTGCTTGTCTGCAGAGCTCCAGACCCACATTCTAAACGACTGCAGCAATTGGCTCATTCATTCATTCATTCATTCACTCATTCAGTGTTTATATAGGCACCTGGAAAGATGAATAAGATGGGGCCTCTAACTTTGAGAAGCCCATGTCTCCATCGAATACTGTACAGGCATTTGAAATGCAGAAAGTTTAAGACAGAATGTACTGCCTTTCCCTCAAAACATGCTCCTTCTCTAGCCTTCTCATTTCTTGCCATTGGTATCACCTTCATCCAGTAACTTGGGTCTACAATTGAGCAGTCATCTTTAATGCCCCCTTTTCTTTTACTCCCCAAATCTCATCAGCTGCCAAGTTCTGTGGTTTTTCACCCAGGCTGTGCTTTCTGAATCAATACTTGTGTTCTACCCCGACACTGACTTACCCTTTCATCACCTGTTCCTAGGGTTTCTGTGAGGCCCTCCTAATGGCCTTCACTTTCTCTAGATGCTCCTTATCACTAGCTCATCCTTCATTATCAATACGAACACTTAACTTTTCTAAAGGACCATTCTAAATGTACTACTTCTTTGCTCTTTTGCTTACTTCTCAGTTTGGCATTCAAGGCCCCTGTGATATAGCCCCAATCTAATTTCCCACTCTTATCTCTACAGTCCATTCTCCACTGCTGCCAAGTCCTCCTCATTCCCACCATACACACGGAGTTCCCTCCCTTTCCCACTGTCTTCATGCAGCTTCTTTAAGGGTCATCCACATGCCAACTCATTTATGAAGCATTAGCCAAAGGAAGGTTCCCTTCTGGAATCCTTAAGTGCTTATGCACTAAGCCTTTTGTACATTCTATAGACTCTAATAATTTTTTGTGTAGTTTATCTCCCCCTTCTATAAGTGCCTTGGAGGCAGAGACAATGTTACTTTGAGTGCCTTGTGGTTGCAATGCCTTGCACTCAGGTCGTGCACTCAGTTGATGTATGCCGAACTGAATTTAAAGGGAAAAAAAGATTTTTGACTCTTCATGGAAACTGAGACTGAATTGGAAAGACCTTAGAGTTTATCTCCTCCACCCCCCTCATTTTTCAGATGAGGAGATTAAGGGAACTGACTTACTCAACACCACATCCTTGTTACTGGCTGAGCAATGATAGTTTATATAAAAAGTCACAAGTGTCTAAATATCTCCTAGTGCTTGCTCAGCACCCAGGGGCCCAGCAGACCATCAGCAAAGACTAGACAAGAGAGAGTGAGGGTTTGGAATGCACCCCCTGCAAGGATATACTAGGTTCCAAAAAATAAAAAAAACTTTGTTTCACTAATTCCCTTTAATAAACCAAACAAATAAATACCTGTTTATAGTTAAATAATGCTTTAAAAATGAGGTAGATTTTAAAAAGCATGGAAGCAAACCTTTCTAAACATACCAGCAGACACAATATGACAATATTGCAAATACCACTGGGGTGATAAACTCAGGGTGAAAACTAGAATGAAGAAATTTCTCATGCTTTGGAAAAGCAGTGGGTTCAGCTGAAGTTCTTGGTACAAACATGCTACAGTAATTTTATGGTTAAATTCATTACCTTAGAGAAACAGAGGCTATTGGCAATTCTGCTATTATGCCACATCAACACTTTCTTTTCAACCTAGCTTTGTCCCATATTTATGAGTTTAAATTTTTACTTACTTTTCCTTCATTATATCACTAATTTACTTGTAGAAACACACAGATGACTGCTCCCATGTCTGTCTGATTTCCTTTCCTGTTCTCTTTTGGTAGAAGAAACATTAATTGTTTAATCTTATCTTTATCCTCAGACAGAATCATATTCTCTCACCCACAGATGAGAAGCTGAACCAAACATATTGTGGGAATAATATGTTTGGTTCAGCTTCTCTGGGTTAAGAAAACTAACTTTTTCTAGGAGACCTCAGTAGTTCCTATTTGGCCACAGAAGTTCAGGCTTCGGTGCTACAAGACTTCCTCTGCCTCCCAGGTGAGCACTTTACTCATCATTACTCACCAGAGGAAAAACTTGGTGCTGTTAATCATATCCTTTTCAGCCACTGTGGTGGAGCCATGCTATGCACTGAAATGTCCATTAACTCTCAACACTCCAGTAGCCACATAAACAGTAAAACTGGGCTCAAGAGCTCTCCATCATTCTTACCAAACCATCAGAGGGCTGGGAAGGTTATCAGCACTTCACCAGACAGAGCTGCCTCATCTGGTCTCCCCCTGGCAACTACATTAAAATAATAAAGGAAATCACCGATCAATATGTCTAGTACATTGTAGTGAAAAACCTCCTAGATGCATACAAATCCATTGTGTAATTAGATGAGTGTTGTACATTTCAAATATGCCTAACATTTGATTTAAATCGTGCATTTTATAATTAAATGGAGACATAATCTTTCCATCCTCTCATTAAATTCCTCTGTCTCAGTCTCACAGCCTGCCGTTACGATCTCCCTTTCATTTTTTGGCAAATTGTCACCTGTCCCCTTCTCCTTTCCCCTCCTGCCTCAGCACACACCCGAGGGTCTCTTAATCAGAAGTGCTGCATGGCAGGTCATGTTTTATTGCTTAAAGGGTGGTTCTCCCCTAAAAAGGACTCAGTGAAATGACTTCATGAAGTTTCATATTTATTCTTTTTCAGTGAGTTCCATATCCAATATAGCCAGTTTTTAAGTCAAAAGACCATTTTGAGAGGCTGCTGGGGCCTCACATCCTTCCCAGAACTGCTCCCTCTGCCTCTTACCTCATCCCTGTGATAACGAATCTGCCCTTGGAACCCAGCTAGAAGGCACTTGGTGGGGTCAGGGGCAGAGGGGAACTGTGGGCCATTTCCATTGCAGCCTGTTTTCCCGGTGACATCTTAGCAGCTCTGTCTTAGAAGCCCTCAGAGAGCAGAACTGTTATGTAACACTGCCACACACCACTGTCAGGGACTTTCTGCAGAGGTCTCACTGCAGGATGGCCCTTCCCGTCCTTTTGAAATCACACCAAATCATTATAACATAACAGATAGTGACTTCGTGACTATAGCTTACAGAAAGATAATAGTTACAATAATAATTGCCATTCATTAGGCCTGTAAATTTTGTCAGGGACTGCACCAGGCATTTTTTGTATGTAAATGCATTCATTTAATCCTCACAGAAATGCCACCCTGCAGGTGTTACCATACCCATTTTGCAGATGAGGAAAAGTGAGGCTGAGAGAGCTCAAGTAACCTCTCCAAGATTAGAGGGCTGTGGACAGTGAGGTTGGAATTCAAACTCAGATTTTCCTCTGACTTTAAATCTGTGCTTCTCTCACTCTGTACCAACTGCTCCAACACAGCATGCGCACATTTCTAGTTCCCACTGTGATCTCAGCACAGGAAAGATGCTTATGCTGTTTCGATGACAGTTCAGAGCCATTGAAAGAGCTGAGAGCATAGGCCTCAGGTGAAGAAACCCTTTACGGGGTTCTTGCAGAAATTATCAGTAAGTATAGCTCCCTCCTAGCTCCTTCTTTTCTAAAGATGAGAACAGTCTTCTCATCTATCTTACACCTGTCTTCTCAAACTCTAGTGATCAAATGAATCATCCGGGAGTTCTGGTTCAGCATGTCTGGGATGGAGTCTGTGATTGTGCATTTCTAACGAGCTCCCAGGTGATGCTGATGACACTGGTCTGGGTACCACAGGTCTTACGTCTGACACTCACCTTCCCACTGAGGGTTGTTTCCGAAGGAGCAGTTTAAGCTGAATAACTTGGCTAACAGCTCACAAGGCTCAACTGGCTTCTGATTCTGGGCCAGTGTGTCAGGTCATCAGGCATTAGACAGAATTCAAGGAGTTTTTGGCATAGAGTACATTATTAAAAATATCATTTCTATGTCCCCTGGGGCTTTCCTCCCCCCACTGGAAATTAAAATGATAATGTCTCTAACATGTAAAGTTTCTATTTTTTCCATTATTGTTATTTTTAACAATAATTATCTGGTAATAATTCAAATAACACCTTTCCTCTGAGAAATTCAATGAGCTTTACTAACCTTAATTGTCTAACAGCAATTCCCAGGTGTGGATAAAGCTGTCTCAAAGATCACAGTAAATTTAAAATTGTTCCACTTCCTTCCTCTCTTTGTCCCAAATGTAGTGAAGAATTAGTGGTGAGGGGTTACTA